AATTCATGTTGCTTCATTTTCCCAGCACTCATCCAGGGCATATCAACAAAACACCTTCCTTTTGGACTCAAATACCCTCCCGGATTTCAATTATCAGGCACTCCACGATTCCTAGCGGTTCTTCAGAACTATGGGGATTTTCTTTGATTCATTGGCATGTATGCGCTTTGGTTCGTTTGAAGCAGTAGCATTCTCACTTGAGTCCCAAACAATTTGCAATCAAGTATTTTCTTGTGTCATGAAAAAAAAAAAAATGCTCGTCCTCATCACACTTTTAGTCATTTTGAGCAGAACATTACCCAACACCAGTACGGATTTAGGGAACAAGGAGGTTAACAAAACTGCCAGAACAGAGATTGCGGGTGGTGGTATGGATAGTGAACATAGAGCAAATATAGGGTGCCGTCTTGTGAAATGATTGTTTCATAGATAAAGGCGGACCAGGAAATTCAAAAGGTGGCCGATTGAACAGAGGTACAGTTCACAGTGATGGGTGTTCAACGGAGCACCGGCGGTAAAGTGGATGGAGAGTTTTTGAAGCTGATCTTCACAGTACATTTCTGTAATCTAAGATTGGGAGGGCCGTCATTTTAACGAGATGCAATTTAGCAGACTGTCTTCATGAGGAATTGAGTGAAGAGAGGCTTTTTTTAACTTTATGGAGAAGAGTGTTGACGTGCGATTCCAATGAAAGACTTTGAAGGCCTTTTGAAACAGTGCCCCGGTGAAGGCTTGCCCATATTTGGAAGTGTTTACGTAGCACCTTACCAGAAATTAACAGGGAGGCTTTTCCCACTGGTTTAGATGAGATGTAGACGAAATGTGTTTTTGTTCTTGTAAGATTACAGCTTTTTATCCCAATACAATACGTCTTTAGTCTTACAAGATTGCGACTTTTTTTTAACATTCCTTTTTTTCTTGAAGCCTTTTTTTTTAAGAAATAAGACTTCATTCTCATAACATTACAATCCACAGCCCTCCAAAAGTCGAAACTGTTGTTTTATGATTTTGAAGTTTTTGTTTAAAATTGGCAAGATTTTAATTCCTCTGTCATGTCCCATATTTGCAAGTGTTTGCGTAGCACCTTACCAGAAATTAACAGGGAGGCTTTTCCCACTGGTTTAGATGAGATGTAGACCCTACTCAGCAATACGTAAGTCTCTATTGTCCCAAAGTTCAGGACACTGGGACGCCCAGTGACTTCCATTTTTTCCCCCCATTCTGTTTACCGTACAAGTCTGCCAAATTAGCCGTCTGAAATAGCCCCTCGATTATTGGATGTGCTTTTTGACAACAGCAGGTCACTGTCGCAGTGCATACCCAATCAATGGGTTCGATGACGATTCGCTACACGTTGCAAAGTGCAGTGTGAAAAGGACTTTCAATCATTCAAGTGGCAAATGATGACATCAACTGTGCTGAAACATGGCCACTTGAAAAGTACATCATGCCGTGGTTATACTTATTTCTGTTTTTGTTTGTTTGCTGTACAGCAATCCTTTTTCATTGCATTCCTGATGAAATGTGTCTTTGTTCTTGTAAGATTACAGCTTTTTATCCCAATACAATACGTCTTTAGTCTTACAAGATTGCGACTTTTTTTTAACATTCCTTTTTTTCTTGAAGCCTTTTTTTTTAAAGAAACAAGACTTCATTCTCATAACATTACAATCCACAGCCGTCCAAAAGTCAAAACTGTTGTTTTATGATTTTGAAGTTCTTGTTTAAAATAGGCAAGATTTTAATTCCTCTGTCATGTAAACAGTCCCAGTTGTAGTCTTATTTCATTTACATTAGAATTATGAGGGGGGGTCTTTGGAAACAATTCTTTCCCGCCCAATTCTTCCTTGTAGGTCCTACACAGTGTGGGGATTTGCTCTGGTTTTGTTGCATGTTTGCACATCGGCTTGTTTGGAGAACACAATGCACAGATTGTGCGGGGCTCATCAAGCTTTTGGCTTTTCTTTTTTTAAATACTGAAACTCTGCAATTGCTCCGCTCGCAATGTCACACAGCGTGTTTCTGATTTGCGTTTTGAGTATCCCAGAAAAGCAAACACACGCTGCAAAAACAAAGCAATAAAACAGTAGGAGGTGTGCTACTCAAAACACTCGGGGCTCTATTAACGAGCAAATGGAACAAATGTTGTTAAGGGGGGAAATAAACGGAGTGGGTGTGGCCACAAAACACAGGCAAACATATGCTCACCCCACTTTCTGGGAATGTAGTCCAGGCCAGCTCCGTTGTCGCCCACCGACTGTCCATAAGCGTTTCTGCAAAGTCAGGAAACACTCATTATATTTCATGCACGACAATGTCAATTAATTCACAGTTCACAAAAAAAAAAAAAAATGGTGAAATCAGAACAAAGTGGAATTCCCTCAGGATTTGTATGTGAATGCTGAGATGTAGCAAATTGGAGTGCCACTTAAACAGATGCCGTTTGATGTGATGTCAGAATTTTGACATTCTTCACTCCTCTTTCGGTGCCAGTGTCAGAGTAAGCAGAAATTTAGCTGATTTATTTTAATTATCGCTCAGCTTGCCGCAGCTGACATCCTGTTTTTCTTTAGATCACAAACTAGTTGAGACCGAATCAAAAGCATCTCTGCCGGTTGCAGCCAAATAATACAACCATCGATTTTCCCAATTATTATTATTATTATTATTATTAGCAATGCAATTATTAGTTGAGGTTTTTTTTCTGTAACTCATAACAACCGTATCTGAAATCATCTTTCACCATTGGAATGAATAAAGATTCCATTAATCCGTTCGAGCCCAAAAATGTTTGTAATTTTTTGCTTCACTTCAATGGACATGAGGCTGCTCAGTCTGGCCACTATAATGCAGACAGTCGTGTTCAAATACTTCTTTCTATTTAGAAACATTTACCTACCACAGGGGGTTGTCACAGATTTATTGTAATGGGTTTTTTAATGAATATTTTTAAGGAAAACAAGTGCACGAAGTGACCCTCTCTTTCACAAAACTGCCTGCTACAAAAAAAGCACATTTTTTTGCCTTAATCTGAGATCTTTAAATTGTGTTTGATCTTAATTTTTGCATTGTAAGAACAAAAACCTCACTGTGCCGCACCAATTCTGAAGGCTCCCGTGAAAAGTACACACCGTGGCTCCTCTCAACTGAGAGTTGGCAAACAAAGTTATCAGACGACCCTATTTACGACTTTGCAGAGACCTGAGAGAGGAAGGTAGATAGAGAAAGCAAATGGCAGATCAATCGGCACTGTTGTATGGATGTCAATTCGTCCTCACCTGAGCCAGTGGGCTTGTTGCACCTCTCCCAATTCCCACAATGGGCGAGAGGCCTCCCAAAGTGATGTTGTTGTTAGCGCAGAATTACCGAAACAATTACACTTTCTTCCCAGAGACTCAATGGCACGGCGCCTGCTGTGCACCATTTGCTCACTAGTTGTTGATAGCGCAGCCCGACGAGGGGGAGATGGTGCGGGCAAACATAGACGCGCACGCCCCTGGGTAGAGCACAACAGACGAGCCACACTCTTCCTGGTCTGGTTCCATACTGTTGTGTTTCAAAGAACGAAGGCAATACGGCGCGAGCACGCTGTGTGTCCCCGACTTGCCTGAAGAAATCATTGCTCCATCTGTAGCTACTGAGTTAAAAGACTGCGCACTGTTTACAGTCTGGGCAGCGCCTTCATTCAAAACCCCACAATGGCCTCGCTTCTCTTTGGAATACACGTTTGCGCTTTGTCGTTTGTGAATTCACGTATGAACGGAGACTCATTCCAGACCCACCAGCGGCACATGAAAATCAATGTTGTGAAAGGACACTATGAACTGCTGAAAACAAGCATCTAAATATTGCACTCGACACTTTTCCTGATTCATCAGATGGCTCCGCCCATTACAGCAGGCCCCGCCCCCCACAAAAAAAATAAAAAGATCAGAAAGTCAAATTCAGAGATTGAGAGAAGATTCGCAAAGTAAATCGCATTTTATATATTGATGGACTTGACGGATGGTTGGATTTAGATCACTTTTGGATGAAGCAACTTTTTTTTCTAATTTCAGTTCATTTCGATCAACCTCGATGACACTGAAGACTGATACTGATCCAACTCAAAAAGCTGAGTAGATGACACTCCCTAAATTGAGGTTAAATTGTGATCATATCTCACCAAAATCCAAGCCATTATAATTGATAAAAGGGCCAAATGTGAGAATAAAAACGCAATATCTGGGGAAAACAAGTTTCTCAAAGACATAATCATCACCAGAGAAATCACCATTGGAGCCATGAAACTTTAAATCACAATTCGCTGGGAAATTTGAAACATGAAGTAATATTAAACTGTTTTGAAACATAATTTGTGATATATTTACTATTTAAACTTTTAATATAGGCAATAACAAAAACATACAATGGGGAGTCTGTCAATAACTTGCATTTTTTCCCCCTTGTTCACGGCTTGACTGTCCACGGTGTATTTTTTCCTTGAAAGGACAGAAACGGTGTTAAAAATGTAACAGGCTTGCCTTCTCATGTTAGTTTTTCACTACAGTTGGATGATGAGCGCAAACGAGGAGCAGCCAAAAAAAGAGACCTTCTTTTTGCAATGCAAATGAGCTTTGTGGAAATATCTGTGTGTGTGTGTGTGTGTGTGTGTGTGTGTGTGTGTGTGTGTGTGTGTGTGTGTGTGTGTGTGCGCGTGTGCATGCGGATGTAAATGGAGACGAGACCTGACATCTGGTGTAGCAGCTACACAGATACAATGTTCAAAACCTGGAGAAGCTCACGTAGCGAATAAATCCAGCACAATTTGCAATGAATGAATGCGGATGCAGCACAAATTCCGGGTGCTCTTCCTTTAACAACGCTTGAATCAATTACCACCGAGACATGCAGGAACATCCGAGTTCATCTCGATCTAACAGCTTAATTCATAAACTCCACTGAATCTTTTCATAAAAGTAATGCACTGCAATAAGGCATTTGGGGAATCACTTTACAGCGGAACCACAAAAGTGGAACGTGTCTCCATTCGGAAGTCAAGCAAACTATTTTTTTGCTCACCGTGGACATTTACATTCGTTAATCCACCCAACGTACATATTGGATGTGTCGAGCACGTATTTTTTTCAACGGGTAGGCGCGATTATTTTGCCAGCCAAAGCCCTTTTTCAATCTTGTTTTTGTTGTTTTATAGTTTGATGTTTCACAAAAGCAAAACAGTTTTTTTGAGCATTAAAATCACCGTTCTACTTGATATTACATATTGGATGTGTCGAGCACGTATTTTTTTCAAGGGGTAGGTGCGATTATTTTGCCCTTTTACAATCTTGTTTTTGTTGTTTTATAGTTTGATGTTTCACAAAAGCAAAACTGTTTTTTTTTTAGCATCAAAATCACCGTTCTACTTGATACTTGCGAGACTAATAAAGGTTATCTTATCTTATCTTCGAAGGTTGATTTAGCGCCTATGCCTTTTTATAGGATTCTGCGAAAATATTATAAGAACACATTGCTCTATGAAAATCCTCACAGTAGCATATAAAAAAAAATTCTACTTCGTGCCTCTATTCCCTTTGATTTGGTCACCACATACATTTTTCAGCAAATCTTAATAGATGATTTATGTTGCCGGGACTTTTTCCCGTAAACTCCATTATTTTTTCATGGTTCACAACAGGAATTCGGGAAAGGTCATGCATTTAAACATCAAGAATCTTCCTGAAGTTGAATAGTTGAATCAGTCGGCCGAAAGGGGTGTGTCAAGTACGGAGTTCAGCTCACTTTTGCCTTGGCAGCAAAAACACACTGCTAAAAAACTAAAATCAAATCGACAAGAAATGTGTTTTAAAATGAGAAAAATAACACTCTGTATGATTTTAGTTCATAAAAACATGAATTAAATACAATGTAAAGAACAGAACCATTTTAGTGCTCAAGTACGGAGTTCAGCTCACTTTTGCCTTGGCAGCAAAAACACACTGCTAAAAAACTAAAATCAAATCGACAAGAAATGTGTTTTAAAATGAGAAAAATAACACTGTATTGTTTTGTAGTTCATAAAAACATCGTCGAATTATAAAATGAAATACAATGTAAAGAACAAAACCATTTTTGTCAGATTTTGATTAAATTCAATGGCCATTGTGCTGCTCCATCTGGTGCGCGCATCTTGACCACCAGGGAGCAGTATAATCCACACATAGGGATATAGATGGGGACTATCCATTCTCAAGAAACCTACGGTAATATTTGGCATTCTTCGCAGAGGATAAAGCAGATGCTAGTGGATATTGTTATATTATCTCTCCACATGTGTTGCTTCAGTCGTTATGTTCAAATATCTGTTGCTTCAAAACTTGAAACATTGCCACATAAATGTCACCCCCAGGAAGACTCCCATTATTTGTTAGCACGAAGCTAGCTGAGGCTACATGTTTGTTTTAAACGCACAGAGGGTAATTCTCTTTGTTTTATCTTTAGCTTGACAGTCAACTTCAACAGGGAGTGGCCATGAACAACCCGAGGCCTCTCTTTGAGCTATTGTTCACTAATTTTGCCTGCCAAACTGCTGCTTATTGTGTTGTGAGTCGAGTTTCCTACCACCACATAGTAATATATGCCAAATTTCACTACTTTTACTCATGTTTTTCGAGTGTGTGAATGACAACGCCTCGGTTCGAGCACACACGCACAAGAATGAAGACCTTAGTTTTTGTCATTCGTCGTGAGAGAGGGGATTGGGGGATGTGGGAGTGGGGAGCAACCAATCGCAGCTGTGTTTGTTTGACTACTCTCGGGCCTTGGGCAGCACACACAGCTGGTTGAGCCTGGGATCACGCTCGGCCCCTCAGGAGCCCGATCCGGTTCACCCTCTGCTCAGGGGCAGTGAGGGCAGTCGTTCACAAACTGAGGTGCCGCCAGCCATAAAGTAGGGGCCCGCAAAATAATTTGCAATAAATGGGCATGCTGTCAAAAAGTGCATTACTACACGTGGGGACCGGCGCGGCAGTAAAAAAAAAAAAAATCAAATTATTTCTTCCTTCCGTGGCTTTCAGTCAATGAAAAAGATCTGATATGATGGTGACATCGTCCCATAAATTTGACCCTCAATTTGTATTTGTAAACATTCCAACCATTTTTTTCTTTAAACAAATACAAAGTTGAAAAATAAGAATTTGTGTCACAACATATTTTGACTACGACAGTTTTTCATGTCTTTTTTTAGTGAATGTTCTTGTAAAGAATACTTTTTTAAAACATTATTTTCACAAAA